GATGGACGAACTACTGAGAGGCCAGGCATTTAGCCGAGCTGGGTTTTGCAATAGCTTCTCTTCCTCTGTGTGATCACACAGCTCCTCCGTATGAGGGTGACATGAGCTCAACACTCAGACTTACTCTCTGGGACTCCTAGCCTTGACCCCCATGAGTGGGCACCTACTATCCAGTGCCCTTCCTGTCCCTGATCAGTGCAAGAGCCACCTTGCACCCATCGCTGTTATTCACACAGACAGCAGGACCTGGAGTCGAGCCTCCCATACCTCCTGGCCAAATCTTCAAATATCATCAGTCACACTGGAAAATGGCCCCAGGCCACTGCAGCCTAATGGACCATGATGGATGAACAGGAACCCAGAGAAAGGCTGTGATCACAGGGAATAACATGCTGAGGGGTCTCACTGCGCTCTGGGGAGCAGGCTGCGTCCAGAGCCGGTAACGAGCCGCTGAGCAAGCTCGGGGGCAGGCCCACCTGGGGGCCACAGGAGGACCAGGGGAGGAGGGTGGCACTGCCGTCTGCGAGTGCCTCCCAAGGAAAACAGACAAGTAGCCCAATCGTCAGGAGCGGCTGTCAGGTGCGGTGATAGTGGCATCGTGGGGCCCCCGATGAGTCTGGGTGTCACAGGGAGGTCTCAGCACAGGGTGGGCAGCCGGAGGTCACGCTCCAGACCCCAAAGTCCTCTGGGTTCCGCTCAGTCCAGCCGGGTTGGTGGCCAGTGATGAGTTTCCCAGAGTCTCAGTTGTTCTGAGAGGTGAACGGCACAATCCCGGGGAGTGGGGTGGCTGCAGGGGTCACAGACACACAGCGCCTAAGAGCAGCCCAGGAGCAGGGAGGGCTCGGGGACTCTGGCCACCGGCCCCAGAGCTGCGGCCACAGGAAGGGCAGTGAGGTGTCTGCTCTGGGTGGACCACTTAAGGGGGCAACAAAAGACCCTGAAGGTGAGACCAGTGATATCTTAGTGCTTTGTTTTCACAAACCCAAAGCAAATGCAGAAGGCATCCATGATGAGGGAGATGTCAGAATCTGAAATAAAGATGGGGTTCGACCCTGTACTTGTCTGACCCTAGTCCCAGCCCTGTCAGATCCTCTATTTAAAAACCCCAAGGTTTGATTCACCATAGAATTATCCGCATTGATTTTTATTCTTTAAATATTCATCTTGATAACTGAGTTGGGGTGCCCCCTTACATTTTACGTCTGTTACCTAATAATGATGTATTACGTGTTCCAAAATAGCTAGAAGAAAGGATCTCTGAATGCTGTCACCACAAAGAGCACGAAAATGATTCAAGATGATCAACATGCCGCCTAGTTTCCAAGGGGCAGATGCTTTCTGAGATGGCAGCTGGGTCCACCATGGTGGACCCAAATCCAATGGGGTCAGGATTCAGAACCCGCAGAGCCGGGAGTCCTGGTTCCTGGACCCACCTCCCACCTGCCTCCCACTCCAACGTACAAGTTCCCGGTGGGACAGGCGAGGAATGGTGGAATGGAACTGGCGAAGCCATCCTGTGTCTACATGAACAACCACAGGGAACCCCACATTATGTCTGTCTATAACCGTGAGTTAAAAATGTGTAAATAGAAGAGAGACCAGCAGAACAGAAGGAAGGGAACAGGAGATGGAGAGGGGAGGGAAGCCCTTGGGAACTGAGCGGAGCCGGTTCCATTCCCTGCACGGACAATTCTGTCAAATCGGGTTCCGTCTACGGTGGGTGGTCAGTTGTAGAAAGATCTCTGTTTTGCCTCGTGCTCAAGGTGGTTCCAGGATAAGGCGGGAAGGGGAGGGGGCAGGCTGCTGCCTCCGGGGCTGCTGAGCCGAGGGGGGCTGGCGCCCAGCACCCTGCCGCTGCTCAGTCCACCCGGCTTCTCTGAGCGTCAGTTGCAGGTACAGCTCCCGCTCCGTGGGCTGCCCACACCTTTCCTTGCTGCCCAGGGACGGGCTCCCCCACTCTCTTCTCCACCGTGGAGCCAGCCAGGGGTCTGGGGAAGGTGGGCAGACTCGGCTGGGTCAGGCCTCTCGGTACGTCGAGGGTTTTCCTGGGTCCTCTGGGAGGAAGAGAGCTTTCTCTGGGTACAGGTAAGAACTGAGACTCACCAGGGACTAGAGCTGGCTCCACCAAGAACCCAACCTCTCTGTTCCCCTATCTATAATGTCTGGCCACGCCTGTGATCCCAGTGGCTCAGGAGGCTGAAGCAGGAGGATCGCAAGTTCAAGGTCACCCTCAGCAATGCAGTGAGACCCTAAGTAACTTACAAGATCCTGCCTCAAAATCAAAAATCAAAAGGGATGTGGCTCAGTGGTTAAGTGCTCCTGGTTCCAATCCTCAGTACCAAAAAATAAAAAAAAAAAGCTGGAAATAACCCATGACTTCCTTTGAAGAACTACTGTGTCAGGTAAAGTCACGACATAAGCACTCAGGGTCATCTCGACCTGGCTGCACGTCCACACCACACAGGGCACCAGGACGCCCGGCTCCCCTGGCGTCACCTCCGTGTTCCACTCCATTGGAGCAGAGAGCTTCTGGAGACGCTGATGTGACCACAGGGTGGGGGACCCCCGGGCAGGAAGAAGACAAGTAGCAAAGAGGAACTGTGCGCCCAAGGGTGCTACTCAAAGGGTGGTCCCTGGACCTGTCTGCTACAGACCATGACAAGATAGTACAGGCTCCGAGAGTAACTGTTAGAACTTACAGCCACCTGGCCCAGCCACACGTCAAGACACAGGATCATTTCCCTAAGGATGATCTCTATTATATTTTATAGAGTATTGGACAGTGAAGGGGGGTACTTGGAACAAACCCGGGGTCCTACAGAGAGGGACCAGCCTCGGGGCCAGGCGGCCTCTGTCCAGACCCTGGCTCTGCCCTCCGGCAGCTCACCGACGCTCTCTGGCTCCGTTCTTCTTTGGGAGAATGGGAATCACCACACCTCCCTGCCTTATTTTTCCAGGAGGCACAGACATCAATTAATGTATTAAATAAACACCTTTCACCGTGTCAGGGATCAATAAAAATAAAATTGAAGTGCATTATGATATTATGATCTTGATACAAGATGAAAGTTTATTGAATGCAATAAACGTGAAATAGGAGTCTTCCATATTAAGTTTCTGAATAATCAAGAACAGGGATTCTGGAGTCAAGAGACCAAATGTGGGCGCCACTGTTTACTAACCGTAAGACACAAGATGAATCAATTAAATGTCACAATCCCAGCTCCAAAATGAGAGTAAGTAATCCTGGTGAGACCCAGGATGTGGTAAGGAGGAGATAAAACTAACTATGTAGAAAGCACCGAGCCCGGAGCCTGGCCTGCCCGGGCTCAGCAACCAGCACTACTCGAGCGTCATCGCCATCGTCACGGCCATTGCCACTTCCCTGCCAGGGACCCCACCCAGGGCCTTCGCAGCTGTGGTCAGGACACACAGGGAGCTGGAAAGGGCTTCCGCAGTCTCTGCACGATGCCACGAGTCCCCCGGCTCCTCCCTGTCACCTCCAAGCGTGTGCTAAACTGCTTAGAAAGCAGCTTCAGACTCATCCACATCTCATCAGCCCTAATTGGCTGTGATTCAGAGCTGGGCTCTGGAAGTCCTTCCAGGGGACAGGGGACAGGGCCTGCAGAAGCCCCACAGAAGCAGACCCACGGCCTCTGCAGAGCAGCCACTGTGTGGGTGGGACAGGGAAGGCTGACCCGTCCTCTGGGACAGCTGGGCCTTCTCTGCTCCGGAGCAGCCCCAGGACCTGGGTGGGGCCTGGATGGGTTGTCCACACCTGGTCACTCAACACACGCACTGACCACCACTGGGCGTCAGCCTCTGCCCCCCTGGAATCCCTCCTAGATGGCCCTCTGAGGTAGAGCCCCACTTCATGGAAGAGGAAATCAGGCCCAGAGGTGAAGCACTTGGCCAGCACCCAAGCGGCCGCCGAGTGCACAGCCAGCCCCTCATCCCAGCAACTGCCCACTCCACGCTCTGCCACCCAGTGACGGGCAATAAGTGCTGAAGGCGGAGGACGAAGACAAAGGGGCGCTACGGGCAACTGAGGATGTAGATGGAGGGACAGGGTCAGCGGGAGGGGAGGGGAGGCCTGCAAGGAGATGACGCTGGAATGAGGGTCAGCCGGCCAGGGCTCAGAGGCAGCACATGCAAATGCCCCGGGGCAAGACAACCTGCCACCCCAGGAACAGAGAGGAGGCTACTAGAGCCGGTGAGGAGGCTGCCAAAGGGCAAGGTCCACCCAGCTCCAGACAGGTCACTCTGAGTCCCTTGTCCTGCTTCTTGGCTCAGATGGACTCACTCCCCCCAGTGATAGAAATTGCCATACAGTATTTTTCTGGGCAGGTCACCTAACCTGTCTGAGCCTCAGTTTCCTCATTTGTAAAATGAGAGAGACGGTCGTAATACCACCTTCCAGGGCCATCATGAGGATGGGATGTGATGACACCCACAAAATACCCCAGGGCCAGCCCGTAGCAGGCATTTGACAAGCACATGCTGAACAAGTAAAGAGACTCTCCCTTTGCAGCTCGCCTTTCAACACACGTGCACACACAGATGTACACATACGCGTCCACACATGAATGTACACACCCCCACACACACAATGTAACATGCAGGCATATACATGTGCACACGTGTGTATACATACGCACACACGTGTGCACACACATGTACCTACCTGCACACATGCATGCACGCACATGTCCCTCGGACCCCACAGAAGGTCTTGCTTTCCTCCACGCTCCACCTTGACATCTCTTTCCCTCCCCCACCTGCAGCAGCTCACTGTGTCTTTAAGACCAGCACAAATGCTGGTGGCCGTCCCCTCTTCATCCCTGTGCTGTTTCCCACACCTAAAGCACAGCACACCTCAGCTCTGCCCCAGGGTCCAGGCCTCTGCCTCTCCTCCCACCCAGTCTAAAAGCTTCCCACGGACACTCCTCCCTCTCCCTCCCTCCCTCCCTCCCTCTCTCTCTCTCTCTCTCTCCCTCTCTCTCTCTCTCTGGTCTTAACACTGTGGCTGGCTGACGGTGTGGGATGATGTGTAACTGGGGACTGAGAGAGTGAACAGGCTCACAGGACTCCGTCCCCACCACAGTCAAGGGACGAGTATCTGGTAGGAGCCCGTGTTCACCATCACGCCATGCACACGGGGGAAATGCCACAGCCACAGTGTTCTTGAGGTGTTAAGATCTGGCCCAGGAGAAGCCCCACTAGAAAGTCACACAAGATGGTGCGTGATCGACGCGGCCCGCGCTTCAGAGTCCCGACATCCCTCAGGATGGGACAGCCCTGTGTCAGGTGAGTGGAGGAAGCCGGAGAGGAAAGCCTCCATTCAGGAAGGTACAGGGGAGCTGGCTGCCTCCACGGCCAGGTGGCCAGCGGCTTTCCTGAGCCCAGAAACAGAGGGCTCCACCAGCAGGGAGCGGGCACGGCCTGGGGTGCGGAGATGGCGGGGACGGCGGAGTCAGCTGGCTCTCCAGGCTGCATAGGCCAAGGGTGACCCCAAGCTGCTCCTGGTCCTCCAGCTGCACCCCACAGTGGAGCGAGGGTACCTCCAGCTCGGGAACCCCCAGCCACGAGCCCAACATATCCAGCAAACATGCAGCCTGTGTGTCTGGGAGCGCTTGATACCTCAACCTTCAAAGCAGGCCCCGGGACTGCAGCTCTGGAGGCCGAGGTGGTGGTGACCCGGCACAGACCTGTAACCAGGAGGGGAAGAGGGCAGGACGGGAAGCCCAGTGGGAACCCACTTCCTGCTGTCACTGCTGATGGGAGTACCAGGAAGCCTCCTTCAGGAGAGAAGGGAACGAAGGAAGGATGGGGGGTGAGGACACCAACCAGGCCTCCCCACCTTCCTCTTCTCAGGAGGCGCCTTGGTGCATGTTGACATGAATGGGCTGATTGCCTGGTGAGTTCACCTGCAGACGGAAACAGCACAGGTGGCCCCCGGTCTGCTCATTTCCACAGATCTTCTAGAGAGCTCTTTGTCACACAGAGTCCCAGGTGCCCGGTGGCCTAGGAGCCTGGGCCGTGGTGCCATGCCACCTGCAAAGAGAACAGCCTCAAAACAGTGAGAACCGATGACAAGAATTTGCTAAGCCCACCCCTCACGCCAGGCGTGGCTCACGTGGTGCCCTTAATCAATTAGTTATGCCATTAATTAATCAATCCTTCCTCATGGGCTTGTACAGAAGCACAGACGGAGGCTCAGAGAGGTTAGATAACTCACCCGAGGGCAGCAGAGCCAGAACTGGAGCCCAGGACAAGCTGTGAGCACCACAGTACCTGCCTCTGCAGAAGGCCTCAGGTGAGACTCCCCTTGGGTGGCTGCCCACTCAGGTGGGCCTGCGGCTCGCTGGACACTCCTGTGAAGAGGACCTGATGGTATTTTTGCCAAATCAAAAAGCCAGGACGTGGGGCTGGTGCTGGGGCTGGGCTCAGCAGTAGAGCACCCGCCTGGCACGTGCGAGGCCCTGGGTCCGATCCTCAGCACCAGATAAAAATGAATAAGTGAAATACAGGTGTTGTGTCCAACTACAACTAAAGAATATTCAAAAAGAAAGCACTCTTGGTCTCAGCACACCCTCGCCACCTCCTCTCCATCCCCCGCTACTGCTGGAAGTCACAAGGCGCCGGGGTGCACCTGGCTTCAGCGACTCTTGGTTCTGCGGTGGTCCCGTTCAGGCGGTGGGTGGAGTGGACGGCACAGAGGAGGTGAGCCCTGCCGGGGAGGCCCCACAGGATCAGCTGCCCTCCGCTCGCTGAAGAGGGAGGCGCCGGCTTCTGCTCGGCAATGACTCTATGGCGAGTGAAGAGCCATCGAGCGGCGCGAGAGGCCACTTGTAGACACGCAGTGGCTATTCCAGGGGTCAACTGTTTATTTTCTGAGCACGTGAAATGAGCGTTTAGTTCAGACACAGACTCCCTTGGTCCAAGAATGAATGAAGGGGGAAAAAATCAATCGTTGAAGTGGGGAGGGGCCAGGGAGAGTCAGGAAGGTGGGGAGGGGAGGAGAGGGAAAGATGGGGGCTAGACCAAGAGACGGGGGGAAGGAAAGGGGACCCGTGAAGGAGACAGTGGAGCGGGGTGGCGGAGGTCTGAGGGGCTCGCCGGGCCCTGGGCATCGACGAGGCCGAGGAATCACAAACTGCCGCTCACAGGCGCGGCGGCTCCCGGAGTGGATGGGAAGTGACGCTGGAACCTACAGATCGGGAAGCAGAAGGCTCCCTTGTCCTTGGACACGTGTCCCTTTCCACCGTCGTCTGTCCCCACTGTCTTGGCCTGGACAAATCACTCCAGGGGCGCCTCCTCCTACACCCACACAGTCCCCTCGAGAAGTGCAGGACGTTCCTCCCCTGGAGAGGCGAGGACATAGTACATTTTCCAAAGGACGAGCCGGGGTGCCTCTGGGTTCTGCCAAGCCATTGGAAATACCACTGTCATCATTGATAATCGATACCCGATCATGCTAAGCAAATAAGCCAATCTCAAAAATACCAAGGCCAATTTTTTTCTCTGAGATGTGGATGCTAATTCACAATAAAGGGGGGAGAGGGAGCTAGGGAGGAAGAACAGAGGTGCTCTGGATTAGGCAGAAAGGAATGGAGGGTGGGTAGGAAGGATAGTAGAATGAATCGGATATGATCACCCTATGTACACACATGATCACACACTGGTGTGATTCCAACCATGCATAACCAGAAGAATGAGAAGTTAGACCCCATGTACGCATGATGTGTCAGAGTGCATCCTACTGTCACAGATGGCCAATTAGAACAAAGAACAGATCTGAAAACAAGATAAATAAATAAATATTCCAACATCCACACAACACAGAGCATCTAATCCCAGCATCAAAATGCAGATAGGCATGAAGAGACATTTGGATTTATGACAAAAGGGACCTCATCTGGAAGCCCTCCCGGGGGGGTCTGGCAGGGCAGGTATAAAATACATGGGATGGTGCCCGCATCCCTCTGCCCATTTCTACCGAGTCGGTCCTGCAATCTTGTTTAATGAATAATAAACACAGCAAGATTTTTTTTCAAAAAGAATAATAATAACTGACATTTCTCATGCGTGCCCTCTGCCAGCCTGCGCCAGGCTCCGCCAGTTCTCCTCCAATCTGTGAGCAGGCACTATGAGTGTGCCCACTTTGAAGATGAGGAAACTGAGGCACAGAGCCACAGAAGTTCCCGGGCAATGAGAGCCAGAGCAGCGATCCAAACACGGGTGTCCAGCACAGCAGGAAGAGCCTCGAGATGACAGGTCTACACTCACAGAGCATGGTGCGGTTGCTGGAGGAGCTGCCCAGAGGGCACAGTTCTTTCCAGCGGGGCCTTTGCATCTGGGGTAGCAGGGGACTAGATGGCCACTGTAGCAGGAAAGCTCCCTTAGGTGATCTGTAAACAATGTTCCAATAAAACTTTATTTACAAAAACAGACAGCGGGCCAGCTGACTGAGGATCACGGTCTGCCAACCCCTGGGTGAGGACGTCAAAACAGAGAGGGACTACTTGTCGCTGCAGCTGACGTTGGTCAAGCTGTATGGGGCTGGGGAAAGGACACGGGACAACAGTGCTCACTGCTCTCCCGGAGGTTTGCAACCACAGGCAGACAGCGGCTCGCCCTGGCAGCCTGCCCTTCCTCCCCAAAGCGGGGCAGGCCACGCCCCCAGCCCACAGCCTGCTTCTGACCCTGGGAAACTGGGAAGGGCGCCTCAAACTGAAAGCACACCCAACTCTCAACCCAGACCCTCTTCCTCCCAAAGCCCTCAGCCATGCAGATCTGAATGAAGAGCAGCATTTTCAAGAGAGAACAGAGATGCTGAATAAGACATTCAACAGAGAAGCCCGGCGCGCACCTAAAAGTCAATGCCCCGCGTTTATTTGGGGGATGAGGCGTAGGTCTCACCTCATCTGCGCTTCCCAGGCGCCCTGCCTCATTCATGCGGGGTTCTCATTGTTTGATGATGTGGCCAGTTAAAGCAGAAGCTCGTGGAGTATCCAGGAAATGGACCCGGGCCTTGGAGACAGGGCACAGGCAGGGTGCAGGCTGGGCTGCCCGTGAACAGGAAGGAATCCTCTCCAGACACTTCCCAAGGCAGCCTCCTGCTCTCGGTGGATTTTTGTTTTTAATCTTTAAATGTTACACCGTGACATTTCTCCCATCACCAATGCTACTGTCGGTTCTGGCAAAAAATATAATAGACCCGCGCTCGTTCCTATCCCCTCTGTGCTCGAGATGATGACAGGACGGAGGTGCCTCTCCCCCAGAGGTGGTCGGCTGCTGCTCTCCGGCTGGCTGTGCAGGGATCAGGGAGGGTCCACGGGGTACTCGTTTGGGTACCTGCCTGCACTTCCTCCTGTCACCTGCAAATCCACGCACCCAAAAAGGACCCAAACGCAAGAGCCAGGCATTTTCAGATGGAAAGATTTTGTTCTTGATGCCGTCTATTCTGTCTTGGGCCCAAGAGTTTTTATTTTGTTTTTACGTATTGACGAGTGTGAAACCCCCACCCCCGCCATCGTCCCTTCTTTTCAAGCTCCCTCCCTGTGTCTTGGCCGAATTTCTGCTCTCTGGTCAAGAGTCATTTAAATGGAGACCATCTATTAACTCAGCAAATAGTTACTGACATCTGTGATCTCAGAGGCCACTTAAGGCTGCGGAGATACAGTTGTTGCTGTTAAGGTGTCCACGTTCTGGAGGGAGAAGCAAGGGAGACATTTGTACCCTGTCACCAAGAACGAAAAGGAAAACCTCTTGGGCTTTATGTCTCACGTGCTGAGCCCGGGATGGCTCTGCCACAGCAGCTGTGGACGTGAACGCAATCATGTCCACACATGAGGCGGGGGGCATCAACTTGGGGAAGCAGCCCACAGGAGTGCACAGAGTGCCAGTTCCAGGGGAGAGGTGTGCAAAGTGACTCTTAAAACATTTGGAATCATATTTTCAAAGTATCGGGTGGGGTGTGGACTTGACAATGAAGGAGCCTCTTCTGTAAAATTTTCAATAAAATGACAAGGCGTCTGTAAAGAGATTCGTCACTCTGCTGCCTGCTCCCTGAAGCTGATGGTTATATAAAAGCCCTGCTTTGAAGAAGCCAGCAAGCTCCTAAGGCAAGAGCTGTCTCCAGGTTCTGTGAAATGAACATGTCTCTTAGGTGAGGGCCTCTCCGTCTCAGAGGGGTCACCACGTCTTTGGGCTTGTTTCTTCATCTGCAAAAATGGGGACATAGTGCTCACCTCCTGGAAATTCTCATGAAGATTAAAGATAATATATGTGCAGTGTCTAGCACACAGCAGGTGCTCCATAAATGCCTGATGAACACCTGTAGTATGATCAGATTTTCCCCAACTCCAGCTCCCATCCCTGAATGGGTAAACCCGTCCATCCTGTGGAGCCCGGTTCGTGGCAGGTCCTTGGTGAGGTCCCTCCATGAACGTGCTAATTTGAAGCAATCCTTCCTCCTGTATCCGCACTCTGCCCAGCACTGAGCCTCCCCCTTAGTTCTCTATATGGTGACCTAGTCCCCAAACATCTCACACTTCCTGTACCCCATGATCCCCGGGCATGTATGACTGCTGCCTACACAATGAGATGCACACAGTAGGACTCCACGAAGGTTCTCAGGCTCGGCTCCCAACATGGGCTCCAACCTTGACCACTAGAACATTCTCCTAAGACAAACCCCTAGGGTGGTTAAAATAAGTCCACATTTTTTTTTACACCTCCACCTTCAAAAGGTGGAGTCGAATCTTTGCCGTGTACTTGGTGATTCACCTCTAACAAACGGACTGTGACAGAGGTGACCCTCTGCGGTTTCTGAGATGGCATCAGCTCAGGCATGGGGGCTCCCTTCTCTCTCTTGGATGCTCACTCTGGCGTAAGCCAGCTGCCACGTGAGGACATTCAATATGAAGGCACAGGCCTCCCACCAACAGCACAGAAGTGAGCCATCTTGAAGGCAGCTCCTCTAGCCCAGCTTTAGACCACGGCCCCCTGCAACCTCCCAAGACTCCAAGCCAGAATCCCCCAGCAAAGTTGTCCCTGAATTCCTGACCCACAGAACCTGAAAGATAATGGAGAGCTGTTGTTTAAAACTTCTAGTCTGTGGGTTATTTGTTATGCACCAATAGCTGACTAACACATCTCATGGGCACATAGTTGGAGATTTTAACCCAATTCTCAATTGTCATTGAAAAGAAGCTGCTGGGATGGGGAGCGGCTGCTGGGGAAGGCTCTCACTCACTCCTAAGGGGCTAAGGAAGAGAAATATATATACTATATAAGATATCATTCACTCCTCTTGCTATAAGATGCTTTATCTGCTTGTGGTGGCCCACACTGCAAGAGCCCTTTCGGCATCAGCCTGTGAGCAGAGCCAACACCAAGGATAGTGAGAAAGGGCCCCGCCAACCTTCAATCATCTCCGCGGGGAAGGTTCCTGCCACCACTCCAGCTCCCTGCTCCGGGTCCCTACTGCGGGGGACCACAACCACACAGCTTAGTGCCTACGGGTTTTCAGATTGTCTCAAGCATCAGCCAAGATGCCCGATTCTCAAGGCCAAACCCCTGGGCCAAACGCTCCTCTTGTTCACCCAAGCCTAGGCATCACAGTGGCGGGCAAACTGGGGGTGCCCAACGTGCACTTGTCACCATGCAATCACCAACCAATGGGAAGGGGCCAGGAAATTGTCCTCTACGTCACATCCACCTGGCTGTGGCTACACTCCTTCCCTGCCTCAGGCCTCTGCTTTCCTCCAGGTCTCCCTTCCGTCCTCCTAAAGTCTCCCCTAAAACCACCTCAAACCCCCAATTTAAGTCACTCTTCGGCTGAGCTACCATGGTGTTCTGTACTTGTTGATAAATTTACCTTTGATAAATACAGAACGAGCACCCTCCTGCTCTATGACGGCTCTTGAAAAACTCTTGGGGAATCAGCTGTGTAGGAAAAATACAGGATTTTTCAATTTCTCGATCGCCAGTGGCTCATATATAGTAGATGCTCAATAAAGGTCGGTGAAATAGATGAGTGTGTTCTTCATTCAAATGCTGCCCCATGCCTGCTGGATTCCTCTTACCACCTCTCCATAGATAGAGTCTACCTCCCCTACTCAACCGCGAGCTCCTGGGGGCAGGGAATGGATGCTTTTCACATTCCATCTCTAACACCAGCACAGGGCACAAGTCATGCTCTACTTTACAGTGATTGGTCAATATTTGCAGATAAGTTTGTGAGGACTGTGATCCATTAAGTTAAGCAACGAGCAGGTGACTGTCCCCTAATCAATGACAATCATTAGGCAATACAGAGAAACTGGTCTTGAATTAAACATTTACTATGACTAATCTCCTGGAAAAAGACAATTCAAAATCATTCTTTTTAAAAATTGTTTTGGGGGTACCTTGGCTGGTGTCATAGTCTTCTTGGAGTTAGTGACAGTTCCTGCTAACTGGCCAAAGCCTTTCTTGGTGCTTTGTATCACCAGGCTGCAGGACCGACTCGTGACTGCCGATAAGGGATGACCGAGGGCAGGCCCCCCACCAGTTCAGAACTACCAGTTAGTGTCGTGCTCAACACAGTCCCCCTTTCTCCAAAAAGAAGAAAGTGGAAGTCTTCTCCTCCCCTCGGGTTCCCACGGCCTCTGTGTACTCAGTCTCCTCCCGGCCAGCAGGCCTCAGACCTCCTGCAAACTGGCCGCTCCAGCTACAGGAGAGAGAGCAGGTCAGAGGGGGACACCGCTTCACCATCAATCAATCCTGACTCATCTCCTGCCAGAGGCGACGTCCTGCCCTCAGCGCTTGGCACCGAGCCTGACGGAGATAAGACACGCCAGACTGGGCCAGGCCAATGGCCGTTCGGGCCACCGCACTGTCTGACAGAGGCTTCCAGAGATGTTTTGCAAAAAGAGCTGCTCACGTGTCCTACGACATCAGTCATCAAAAATGCACGGTCCTTCTGCCACAGACAGTCGAACACACCCGGCTCCCGGGTGCCCACGTCCACACTGCCAGAGCTCCCACTTCTTCACTCCTCCCTCATGAAGCTAGGAGCTAAGTCCTTTCTGCCCTCTGCCAGGGTTTCCCAACCTCTGCACCACAGATCATTGCTGTGGGGACCGTCCTAGCCATAAAGGACTCTTGTAGCATCCTTGGCCCCTGCAGGATAGATACTAGTAGCACCACCCACACACACACACTCAGTGGTAAAAAGCAAAACCATCTCCAGACTTTGCCCTGGAGGGAGAGGCAGACCACACCGCCCCCAGTGGAGAACCGAGGCTGCCAGCCAAGATGGTAGCCGTAGCCAGTGATTGGTCAGGCGTGAGCATGTGACCCAGTTCTGACCAATGAGAGAGGAGAGGACGCCATCTCCAAGGCTTCTGGGAAAAGTCCTCTCACTGTTAATCAGGAAGTAAACGTCCCTCCTCTTTTTCTGGTTGCTGACAGGTGCAGATCTCAGCCTGGAACTGCAGCGCACATCTGAGAACCACCCCAGGACGCAGCCAGAGGAGAGGCTCCGGGAGAACACATCCCTGGCTGCGAGTGACATGCCCCACCCAGGGCCACCGTCCCCCAGGACTTTGATCCCTGGTGGGATCAGCTGGAGCTGGGATTTGTTAATGACAGCCCAAAGCAAAATCCACCTCACGCCTTTCCTGTCCTGATGACCACCTTTCTGTCTCCCTGCCAGGACCTCGGAAAGCCGCTGGTACTCGCACCTCCTGTCACACCACAGAAGGCAGTTTAAAGAGCCCCGATTCCGAGTCCCACCAAGGCTCAACAGCAGCTCCATGAGGCCACTCAGCCATGCCACTTGGTCTTCCCTCCGCGGTGGAGAACTGCCTCCGCTTCTGCACCCCTCTGAGGCTGTATGAGGGCCGATGAGGCAGCGCCTACGAAAACGCCTCGGGGTCTCATTCCACGTTCAGTCCCTGTCACTCTCCCCCTGGTGGCAAGTCCCCATCCACGTCACCCGACGCTGGTCCAGGAGCGTTCATCGAGTCTGGCTGTGTAGCCAGGATGGTGTAGATCAGTTCCCCAAACCTGGCTCCGTTTCCTGTGGGGGCTGAAGGGTGCTGGCCGTGGGCAGCCGTTCTGGGCACCACAGGACATTCAGCAGCCTCCCTGGTGTCTACCCACTGGGCGCCAGGAGCACCCACCCCGATCATGAGACAAAGATGTCTCCAGACCTGTCTTCATAGAAAACACGCAGAATCACTCCTGTAGAAAATGCAGATCAAACCTACTCTAAGATTTCATCTCCAGTCAGAAGGGCAGTCATGACAAACACAGACGACGATAGATGTTGGTGAGGGTGTGGGAAAAAGGCACACCCCTACACTGCTGGTGGGACTGCACACTGGTCAGTCACTATGGAAAGCAGGATGGAGATTCCTCAGCAAACTTGAAATGGGAGCACCAATTGACCCAGCTCTCCCACCCCTTGGCATATACCTAAAGGAATTAAAATCACATAGTACAGTCACACAGTTTATAGCTCAATTCACAATAACTAAACAATGGAACCAACCTAGGCGTGCTTCAATAGATGAATGGATAAAGAAAATGTGGTCTATGTATCCAGTGGAATATTACTCAGCTTTAAAGAAGAATAGCATTATGGCATTTGCCAGTAAATGGATGGAATTGGAGAATATCATGATAAGTGAAGTAAGCCAATCCCAAAAAAACAAAGGCCAAATGTTTTCTCTACTATGTGGATGCTAATTCACAATGTGGGGGTACTAGATTAGGTAGAGGGAAGTGACTGGGGAAGGGGATAGGAAAGGTGGTGGAATGAAGCCGACATGATGACTGTGTGTGTACATGTGACTGCAGGACCAATGCAACTCTGCAACATGTGCACTCAGAAAAACAAGAAAGTATACCCCATCTAGGCATGGTATATCAAAGTGCATAAATGCATCCTACTGTCATGCGTAACTAATTAAAACAAATTTGAAAATTTGGAGAAAAAAAAAGAAAATTCTGCTGTGGGTGGTGGAAATATTCATATGAAAATACTTATTCCTTGATCTCAAGAAACTCACTCATGTACACAATAACTTCCTTTTTATAGAACCATAAAGCTCCCATGACCACTACTCGGAAGCACACAGATGTAGATTCGAATGCCGGCCCCCCTGTCTGCTAGCCCGTGGGCCTGGCTGACCTCGGCTTCTTCATCCATAAGGTGGGGGTGATGAAACCCACCTCTCTGAATCTTTTTCAGATTTAAATAAAACCAATGTCAGAAAACACTGGACAAAAAGCGCGACGTCCGTTAGTCCTTAGCCGCGCTGTGCTCACTCTTGAGCTCTTGGCTCAAGGCCTGCCGCCAGGTCCCAGGAAGTAGGACCTGCTTCCTGTTGCGCCCCTTCACTTCACTCTGCGACTTTCCAGGTGCGGGTCCCATTCCAGGTACAGAGGTTGCCGGGCGCTGCCCGAGTCCACTCACATCCTCTTATTATTTGGGCCAAGACAACTGGACTTCCACCGGCCAGCACCCGCACCTCGTCAGAGAGCGACCCTGAGTATCAGACCATGCCCACCTTGGGTCACCCCGGAGGGGTCCTCCAAGGGTGACCCTTCGGTCTGCTCAGCCCTAAAGGAGCAGGCGGATGACTGCCCCAGCTCCCTCACCTGTTGGCAGGGTGATTCTCAGAAAATCCCTGCAGGGTCACTTCAGTGCCACCCTGGGCTCTGCTCAGCCACGTACCCCAGCCCGTGCCCCTGCGCGTCCCAGGTGAACCTCACGCACTCAACCTTTACTCGGAGTTTGTTTACAGGAGAAACCCACCTGAGACCCTCTCCCTTTAACGGTGGAGAGACTGGACTCCAGCGTTACAACTGCCTGTTAAAGATCTTTTGTTCCAAAACATATTAATTCTGTGGCCTTGAGAGAGTTGTAAGCCTCTGGGGTTCCGTTTTCTTTGTGTAAAAAGGAGATGATGCCACCTACCTCCCCAGGACTAGGCTGGTTAACACCTGTTAAATATGTAAAGTAGTGGACGACACGCAGCAAGCCCCACGTTGGTCAGTTCCTCCATCATCAGCCCAGGGTCCTTAGAGCTCGGAGCTGCTGCCCACGGTCTCGACTCAAGCATTGTTTAAAACTCCAATTTCCAAAAAGAGTCAAGAGCAAGAAGAAAGCTTCTCCCATTCGCCCCGAGCACAATGCAGCCTGCCGTGGTGAAGACATCCGTGGGGACATGTGGCCTGCACACGGCTGGACGCCTGCCCTGAGCCGACTGGGGAAGTCTGCCTGGATAGGTCTGCACTGGCTGAATGACCTTCCTGGGAGGGGCAGGCCAGAGACACCAGTGTCTCCCCTGGGCCCGCAGGAGTGAGCATGCCCCAGACTGCAGAGTGAGCAAGCAACGGGGGTCCCGCCAGGCAGGTGCCCGACACACCGGCCTCCTTGGTTGCTGCTGGAAGTGGTCAAACATTGCAGTTCATAAAGATTCCTCTGCCACTTCCTCTGTCCACCCCGGCTGTGGATGGTTCCGTTTCCACACTGCAGCTGGCTCGCAATGGGCTCCTTCCAGGGTCAAGGTCTACAGCCTCTTTCCTGCTGACACTGGGGACCGAGCAGGGAGAGGGACTTCCCTGGGTCCAGCCCGTCCTTCCAGCCCGAGGGAGGACGTCTGTAATGGTATCTTAACTCCCCTGAAGTTCAGAAAGACCGGGATTTTGTTTTAGTAGTGGTGGGGCAGGAATGAGGGGATCGGCTGCCTATTTTGTATTTAGACGTATTTTCAGCTCAGGCGTCGGCCACGTTCTGTATCGGGTGTGACGCTGAGCCTTTTGCCTGGCCTGACCACCCTGTGACAGTGGGCAGCACCCGTCCAGTCTGCTCCTGTCCTTATTTGTCTCCATTACACTCAGCACCTCCTGATACACTATATGATCCACTTTATTTTGTTCACCTCCCCAGAAAAAAATGAAAGCTCTGTGAGATCGGGGAATATCATGCATTTTTTTTTTTTTGTGAGTAGCATCCATCTCATTGGAAGAATCTGCTAATATTTGCCAAGTGAGTGAATCTCCCAGAATCTTTCCAATAACCCAATGGACACAGCACAATTATCATCACACCGTGCCATCCTTATTCCCACACCTTAGAGCTGGTAGGCAGGATGATGGCTCCCAAAGACGTCCACACCCTGGTGCCAGGACCTGTGAATGTGTTGCCTTACGTGGCAAATGGGACATTGCAGATGTGATTCAGGATCTTCATAAGGGGACGTTATCCTGAATCTTCTGGGGGGGGGGGGGGCGAATGTGATCATAGCATTCTTCTAAAAGAGAGGTAGGAGGCTCAGAGGAGGGAGAGTCGAAGATGCTAGGCTTCTAGCTCTGAAGGTGGAAGAAGGAGCCACGACTGAGCAGTGGATTCAGGTGGCCGGGAGAAGCTGAAAAAGACGAGGAAACAGATTCCACCCGGGAGTTCCAGAGGAACGTGGCCTGCTGTCACCAACCCTGACCGCAACATGTGAGACCCATTTTGGAATTCTGTCCTCCAAAACATGCCACTTAGATAATGAGAATGGACCAATTTAAGGCATGAAGTTTGGGGTCACTTGTTATAGCAGCAATGAGTAACTAATACACCCATCAGTCAGATGGGGGAGCCAAGACTCAGGGTCACGTGCTAGTTCCCCCAGAGTTAAGTGGGTAAGCGGGGAGGCATGAACATAGACGCAGTCCCTCCAGAGCTCTTCCCCTTATCTTCTCCAGGAAGCCACAGGCGTTAGCCAAATAAACACACGGCACGCTTAGCCCCAGGGCTGTGGCGCTGTCACAGCACGACTCCTACAATCTCTTCAGCATCTGCTCTGCACTTAGAAGGGAGCTCTTCCTCTCTGTGGAATTCCCACCTCTTAGTTCAAAGTAGACGTGAAAATACGTAGATATAAACAAGACACAGCCTCCCGTGGATCTCAGAGTCTGATGGAAAGACTGGTCATAAACCAGGAGCGATAAGACATTTGGAAGGTAAATTCCAGGGGAGCGGGAACCGCCCTTCACAAGTCCTTCCCAGGGCCGACATCACCTAGTAGGTGCTCAATAAATATTTGTTGAATGGATGCCAAGTGAGCAGGAACTCAAAGTAGCTTTCGAAGGACTCTGAATATACAGAACTGGAAGGGATTAATTCTGATGTGTGTATGAGAGTGTGTGTGTGTGTGTGTGAACATATCAGAGAATGGATCATTTGAATTGACTTCTGCGGAATTCACAAGATTTGGCACAGAGTAAGAGCACTCCAGGGAACTATGTGAACAGGAGTAAGGAGGTAGCAAAATACCAAGGAAAATGGAACATTTGGGGGTGAACATAACACTGAGCAGGTGGCTCAGAACATAGGGCAATGAGACTGACCTGCTCCTGCCAGCCACAAGGGCCAGCACA